GCCCTTGTGGGATCTGCTCATCTGCATTATGCTAAGCACATATAATTAGCCAATAAAAGATGTGGAGCTGGGCCAGTTTTAAAAAATAATTATGGCAAATATGATCGAATGTAACGTAATAAGCAAGTCCAAATCATAATGTTAAATACCTTCAGAAGATAGCCAAAGAGGCTTTTTCTAGAGATGACTTTTATTAAAGTCAAATGGACTATGTCCATTTTAGTTGTGGCATTCAGTCATCTTAGACAACTCTGGAAATATATTGTGGGAAAAAATAGGAAGCAAAACAGGGGCAACGTAATTCAGCTGAATGACAAGGCACAGTCTTCACCGCAGGTTCACTGCCAGGAGGAGTCCTTGAGAATGCCAGCCTTCATTGTGGGGATCTACAAGGAAAGAGCTTTGAAGACAGACCTCCTTCCCGCTTATTTCCCTGTCAAAATATATAAAGGAATTCAAACTAATCAAAAAGCCGAAGTGAGCTGGCTAGTTAACTAAGACAGGCCCAACTATGAGTTCAGAAAGCTTTCTAATGCTTTCCATGTGCCTATCCAAAGAACAAAGTTTCCAGGACATGTTGACTGCAAGGAAGGCTTGCTCCTAAAGAGAAAGATCATATGGTTGCCAAAATGGCATATCCTGGAAATTTAGCTCAACACTGAAAGCTATGGCCATGTATAAGAAATTACCCCATGCCTAAGATGATGAGTTTCTTTTTCATAAACTGTTTAATCATCATGAGAAAAGTAGTCAACCGGCATGTGAGGACATGAGGCAGTCAGCCCTTGAGGTTTCCGAAGCCCTTTACAATCTCACCCATCCAAATTTAGAAACCAGTGGATCCTCTTCGCCCCAGCAAGGTGGCTATGTCATTGCCATATAGTCCTCTTCTCCCCCACCACACACATGTTCCTCCCCAACAGACATCTGCTATGATCATTCCTGTTTCACCCATGAGGCTGCCCTCTCTGAAATGGTCTGTGCCCTCTCACCATCTCTCCAAACGCTTCAAGACCCAATTCAATTCCTTTCTTCACGAAATACTCCCCAATGGCACCAGCCAACACCAATATTTTCACTTCCTGATCAGCCCTTTTTTCTCTCTCACTTACTATCCAACTAGAGATAGAAAATGGAACCAGGTGACTTGTACCTGTAATCCTCGCACTTTGGGAGGCCAAGGCAGGAGGATCACTTGAGGTCAGTAGTTCAAGACCAGCCTGGGCAACATAGTGAGACCTCATCTCTACAAAAAATTTAAAAACTAGCTGGGCATGGGGCACATGCCTGTGGTCCCAGCTACTTGAGAGCCTGAAGTAGGAGGATCACTTGAGCCCAGGAGGTCGAGGCTGTAGTGAGCTGTGATGGTACCACTACACTATAGCTTGGATGACGAAGGAAGAGAGAAAGAAAGAAAGAAAGAAAGACAGAGAGAGAGAGAGAAAGAAGGAAGGAAGGAAGGAAGGAAGGAAGGAAGGAAGGAAGGAAGGAAGGAAGGAAAGAAGGGAGGGAAAAAGGAAGGAAGGAAGGAAGGAAAGAAGGAAGGGAGGGAGGGAGGAAGGGGAAAGAAAGAAAGAGAAAGAAAGAAAGAGAAAGAAGGAAGGAAGGAAGGAAAGAAGGAAGGAAGGAAGGAAGGAAGGAAGGAAGGAAGGAAGGAAGGAAGGAAGGAAGGGAGGGAGGGAGGAAGGGGAAAGAAAGAAAGAGAAAGAAGGAAGGAAGGAAAGAAAGAAAGAGAGAGAGAAAGAAAGAAAGAAAGAGAAAGAAAGAAGGAAGGAAGGAAGGAAAGGAAAGAAAGAAAGAGAGAGAGAGAAAGAAAGAGAAAGAAAGAAATAAAGAGGGGGTGGAGGGAGGGAAGGAAAGAAAAAAGAAAAGAAAAGAAAAGGGATTGATCTTGAGGGTTAATAGCAACTGCTAGTGTGCCTGGAGTAATAGCTTCAAGATTCCAAAGTTCCTTCTGAGCTGAAAAGCGCCATGGCTCTTTAGCAATGACAGTGAAAATGGTATGCGGGGAGGTAATGGAGCCCTATGTGGCCAGGATTTGCCAAGCCTAGTCTAAACCATTCTTCTTAGCAGTGGCTTATAATGAAACTTAATTTTCGAATGTCTCCTATTATCCAAATGTATGCAGTTCCATGTTCTTATGACCATTCAGATTAAATATTCAGATTTTAAAATGACAGACTGTAGAAAGATGTCATAGAGAGTTACAACTGGTCATTCTTGAGGGGGTCCCTCAAGCTGGGCTTCCATCTTGGAATTGGTTTGATAAGCTCTCAAAAGATGATTTCAAGTATGCACCCAGGGGTGATGGATTTCCTGGTATGTTTTCTCATAAATATATTTATGGATTTATATATATATATATATATATGTATATACCATATATGGATTTATATATTATATGCTACATATGTATATTATATATAGTATATACGTATTTAAATATATGCTATATATGTACATTATAGTATATAATATTTAAATATTATAGCATTTAATATAGTAGTATATATTTAAATATTATATACTATATATAATGTATAGTATATGTATAGTATTAAATACATATATAGTATATATTTAAATACATATATAAAGTATATAACATATATACAATATCTATATTTACATATATGTACTATATTTATGTACTATATGTATATGCACACACAATGTATAGACTAGATTACTAATAATTTGCAAATGCAGACAGCCTTTATCAGAAACTACACTCCCCAGGGCTACTTCTGCAAGTTTCTATTTCTCCTTCTGAATAATGAATAAGAAGGAGCATGTGTCCAAGAAGTGTCCCAGTGAGCATGAAATCAGGATCCTCCCTCCTTTCTTTCCAGTGCTGAAAAGGTGGGCCCTGGTTAAAAACTGCTCCGCCACCGACTGGAGGAGCTTGTCCTCAGGCAGCTTCTCAGTCTCACTAGGTCTTGGTTTTCCCAGCTGTAGAATGCAAATAGCAATGATACCTGACATGGGGTTGTTGTAAAAGTGCTTAGTACAGTAAGTAGCACCTGGTAAACACAATGTTTGGTTTTCATGATTATTTTCACTTTCTAGTAGTTTAGAAATACCATTTCCATGATAATGTAACAGCCCTAATGGCCAAAAAAAGCCCATATTAATTTTTTAAAAACCCATGACTATTATTCAGAATCCAGGAGTACCAAGAAACACCTCACCTGAGATCTTCTTGGTACAAGCCTTCTCACCTGAGAAGGCTAACTGTGTAAAGGACTTTTTTTCTCTCTTTTTATACACTATACCTGGGAGTTAGCTTCACTCCTGGATTAACCCTTATTCTCTATTTTCTTTCTTATAACACTTCATCAGATCATATATGCAGATGACTGTGTGTATGTGAATATGGCAAGTGAAAGCTCAGAGTCTCCAGGCTGTTCAGGGAAGCTTTCTGCGAATTCACTTCCCCTGCACCCCTTCCCCTGCCCGCCCAAGGACTAGAACCGAAGTCTGTGAATGCCTCGCCAGAGGGATCCTGCCCTTGGCCAAATGCGAGACTGCTGGAGGCGTGGCCTTCTAGACGATTCGTCAGGTCGCCGGGCTCGCCCTCCCCTCCCCCTTGCCCTGGGGACACCCTGTCCGAGTAAAGGGGAGGCCTTCGTGTGAGTGATGTTTCTCAATTATCAAACTAGTGGCGTGAAACATTTTCCTGAAACACCTGGGTGTAAAAGGTTTTGTTACCTCTTATTTTTCTTTTAAATAACAAAGGAGTAGCCACACCTACCTTAGTTTCTACTGAATAAAAACGTGAATAGTTTGTTTTTGTTTTTGTTTACCTTCAACTCTCAAAAAGCACAAAGTTCCCAGGTGGGAAGAGGTAGCTTAGAGCTGTCCGGGGCCGCTCGGGGACGGGAGCCGGCTCCCCTGCTATCAGGCGCGAGAGCCTGCCCCGACCCCGCACGCTCGACTGCGGTTTCCCCTCCTTCCCCTCCCCCTAGCTTTATGGCCCGGGCCGAAGCAATCCGGACTTTTCTTCCCTCTCCCACGTTTCTTTCTTTCTCCACCCTCCCCCCCAACCAAACCCCCAAACCTCTACGTGGTCCAATATTAAAACTGGTGGAACCAAGGCATTCCCAAAATCAGGAGGAGGGAAAGAGGAAGACAGGAATGTCAACATTTATTTTCCTGAAGCAGGGAAAAGGTTCTCTCTGGGCAGGCAGGCCATCCTCTGGGAGGAGGAATCCACCGTTTCCTCAGGTAGTACGTTCCAGGGATGATGGATGCAGGTGGTAAAAACACGCAGCGTTTCAGTGGGATGATGGGAGATGTTTACAGCCCTCCTGGGAAGATGCCAAAGAGTTTAACAGTCCTGGGATACCTCCCAGCTGCCTGCTCTGGTGCTGGATGAGTTTACGCTTCCTTTCCTAATGGAAAAGGTGAAGCAACCAGTGACTTGTCCAGGGTCACACACCACGCTTGGGACAGAAATAACTCTGACGCTTCTTTCCTGGCTCTAACAGCAGACAGCATTGTCCAATGACTGTACTACCATTGCGATCTGAATCATTTAAATTGCTCCTAATTGCAGGCCTGGAGTGCACTGTAACAGCCGTATGACTCTAACTGCCAAGCCGGCCGGCCGAGGTAAGAATGACTGAAGTTTTGCAAATTTCTGAATATGGAATTAAAATGCTGAGCGGTGGAGGGAGTAGGGCAAACGTGTATGAAAACCACTTTGAAATTGCTGACAAGTATCCTATTTAAAATTTGTTTAAAAGATGAATTGGACATGTCACCTTTAATTTGTCACACTGGAATTAGAGGAACACTTGATGTTCAAATTGATGCCGTTCAAAAAGGCATCTCCGATATTTCTAAGCAATCGATGTTTACACTCTTCCTTCCTGTGCCTACTAAATTACTGTCTGGTTTTGGTGTTTAAACTTCCCTTTGAACACCTTTGTGAGTAGATATGGGGAAAGGGGAGGGCCTGGGAAACAACCAGGCATTTGACTTCAGATCTGAACACGGGGCTGGACACGTGCTGTGCTCAGGAAAGAAAGTAAATTCCACCTGGCAAATTGCTCTAACTGATTCATTTGTCCACAAAGAGACGCCACCTACCTGCATGCAGGTATTCAGGTAAATGACAGGTGGGCGGGACCTCCTGTTTCAATCCCTAACATCTCAGCCATGCTTTATCTGTCGGGGCTTCCGTGATGTCACCCATTTCCTGCTCTGAACTGACCAATGCCGTCCTCCTTCCTCCAGGCACCTGTTCACCGAAGTTGAAGCTGGTCACAGCTTGGGCAGCCCAAGGAGCTGCTCGGTTCACCCATAAGGGATGAGAGCTCCCTGCCCGCTGCTGCTAGGAGAGCCTCAGACAGACGCTTGAAGAGGTGAGTTGAAACCCTCCATTTTTCTCTCTTGGCATTTAGACCACTGGCCCCTGAGGGCTCTGAACAAGGAATTTGAATGAAAAAATACAAGCTGAATGGCTTGTCTCTGGTGTTTGTGGTGTTTGCCCTAGAGGGAGAAGCTTTTTCGAGAGGGAATAGTAGAGAGATGCTTTTGACATTCTAGTTACACGGGAAAGTTCTCCCAGGCCAGATATTTAATTCTTTTTGTTTCTCTGATCGTTAATCCAGCCTCTGCTTGTCCTTGTACTTGATCTGATTAAAACAGCAGCGATAACAACCTAGAGAGAAGTAGAGTGAAGGCTTTTTTTGAAACTTAGCTCGAAGGCACAGCCCATTTAATGAGGGCTAGGAGGCCAGTGCAGACTGGATTCAGAGTTCTTATTTTTGCTTTTTCCCCCGCATTTTGCCTTACTTTCCGCATTCATCTCACCAGAGGCGATTTCAATCTAAACCTGTGAGGCATCCCTAGATTTTTTTTTCTTTCTCCCTGAAAACCTGTTCCTCAGGGTAAATTCTGTTCTTCCATTCAGTAGCTGTCCGTTCCAGTTTTCCTCTCTTCTCTGAAAAAGTCTACCATTTTCTTTGCCCTTTTTTGAACACCCTTTTAAATACGACTTCGCAGTCTGCACTCGAATTTGTTTACATTCAGACCTGGACTGGCTGCCTGCTGACCCTTGGTTACAGTAAGGATTAATTCCCACATTGCCACAAGAATGTGACTTCGGGTCTGATTTTTCATTTTTTGGACCTCTTTGGCTTTTTCTGTCTCTTTTTCTTTTAATAGCAAATATGCCAAAGAAGTTGTCCTGCCAGGACCTGGCTTTTAAAGTAATTTTACCTCTAGGATCCATTTTTGTTTTCTTAATTCTGATCACACAGCCTGTTCCACTTCTGTTCTTGACAGCCCACTAGTCATACTGTTTCCCCAATACTGTTGTCAGAGAACGGAAACCATTTTTAAGCCCAATTCCCTGCTGGGATGAGCTGGAAAAACTGGAAAAAGAAATAAATCTGTGAGGCACTTCATTCTAGATTTCATTATCAGCTGTTTTTTGAGATTTAAGTTAGCACATATGTTTACAAGGAAATAATCTGGAATTATGCTCCTGTTCATCCACCTAGAAATACAAAGTGCATGTAAATTCTGCAAAGGTATAAACTGAGACAAGCCGAGATCATTTTTGCCTTAGACAGTTGCTTCTCGCCACTAAGAATCTGCCTACTTCTTGTTGCCAATTTCTGTCTTACTGTTTGGAGGCTCGTATTGTTCTCCTTTAACTGACCTTTGTCTGTTATTTTCCCAGAGCCTGTGAGTTTGAGGGGTGGGGGTTGGCAACCACTTGTCCCTTACTAAGGTTCTCACTTGATTCAAAGCTTGCATCTTCTGGATAAAAGTACGTCTAAACCTCTCCTCAAGATTACGTTGCCTCTGGTTTACCATGGTTAATGAGCTCTTTTCACAGTAGTTTATGATTAAATAAATCATTTCATCACTGTATGTCAGTATGTCTGAGTGTTAAAGAAAAAAAGCTGTAGACACTGTACCCCCGGGTAGAAGAAAGGAAAGAAGTGATAGAGACTGGAATTCAGAGTCAGATTGTCTAGAATGCAGTTGGTCTGCTGGGTAATTTATACACGTCCTGCCCAGAGTTCCTGTAGTAACTCCACCCATTGGTTCAAGTGGACATGGGCCTGATGGAAAAATGTACAATCTCCTTCATCTATGTCCTTGAGCAAGTTACTTATCTGACGCTCGGTTTCTTCATCAGAAAGATGGGAGATAATAATCCCCATGATCTAATGTGTTTGTGAGATGTTAATGAGGTAGCTAATGTATGTTAGCATCCAGTGGCCAATGCCTGGTGCTAACTGGTGCCAAAGTGAGGCTAGGTCCTTCTTTTGGAAGGAATTTTCCTAGGTTGCTTGGAGGAGAGAATCTGACCCTATCAAGATAAAGATCTTGTGTGGGTGCAATTGTTAGGAACCTTGATAGTTCTTGTTATTGTAATTAACCGTAGGTAATTAACTTCAATGTTAACAGTTTAGAAAAAGAAAACAGGCAGGAGAATGCCTAAACGATGTCATTAAACAAGTTGGGCAGATTTGTCTCTGCTAGCCTCCCAGGCAAAGCTTTTAGGAGTTGCTGGCTGGCTGTGATTTCTTCCTTTTTCCACCCTAAGGTTCTCACCTTGCAACAGACCCACAAAATGTGACTCTCCATGGGCCTTTTGGGGAAGTGTCCTGTTGTTGTTGCTGTCATCTGACTTGCAGGGAGTTCTTTCTGCTGTCAATCGTGCTGTCTCCAGGGCAGACCAGGTGTTTGGTCTCCTCCAGACCCACGAATAAACAACCTTCTCCCTGATCAGAGTGAGGGTTCACGCAGAGTCGCTGGCAGGAGGAAGCTCCTGGTTTGGAGCCTGCATTGTACCATGGAAGGGAGGCTTGTGACCCATTGGATGTGGTTGGTCCTGTCATGGAATACCCTGTGCCCTTGGATGACCTTGAGTCATTGCATAAGAGCACCGTGTGCCCAGGGCCCTGGTCGCTTCTCTGGGTCTCACCCTTCAGGGATAACACAAATTTTCATCATTCAAGAGTAAGGGATTAGTGGATTGAGGTCAGTGGGTTCTACTGACTAGCTTGCCTTCGGGACCCTAGGGGAGAACCTCAACTTCCCTGCCTGTCAGTTTCCTTAGCTATGTTTTTCCCCAAAGGATGCTACAATGGTGTACTTCACAGGGCCCCTCAGTCCTTGCAAGTGAAGCGAGGTGGGCTGCATGCCTAGGTGCATGGGTCAGACTGACCGGGGAGACTGGGTAGCGCCTCACTAGGAAATGTCAATCTTATTCATTCCATTCTAGGTGGGACAGTGCTATTGCTTTAGAATAGTGGTCTGGTCTCTGGCATCAGGCTACCCACCTGGGTTTTCAAAACCCAGATCTACCATGTGCTACCTGTGTGACTCGGGACAGACTCTTTAACCTGCTTTCATCAGCTGTGTAATAGGGTTATCATGAAGATGAAATGGGTTGAAACGTGTAAAGTGCTTGGAATGGTACCTGCCACAGTGTTAGCTGTTACTAGTATTTATTTTCTTGAAAGGAAGGAATAGTTGGTAGAATCAGACAGGTCTGTGTATCAGACCCAGTTCTACCACGTAATTGCTAGCCTAAATAAGTTACTTAATATTTCTTTGCTTCAGTTTCATCATCTGGGAAATGAAATGCTTATCAGACTCAGTGCTGTTGGGAGGAATAACTGAAATAATTACATGGAAAGTGCCTGGCATATTGTAAATGTTCAGTGAGTGTTAACTATTGTTATAGTATTTTAAAAAGTGTTATGTAGGTTACAGTTAGACTTCTTAGATCCTGCTACTGTCTGGATGTAATAATGATGGAAACAGGAGTAAGTTGAGGGCCAAAGACTGAGCGAAAATTATTTCCTGAGAGGCTCCCAACGGCAGAGGAGGAAAACCTGTTAACAAAGATTGCGTTGTTTCTCTTGGAGTTCCAGGGTAGGGTGGCTGCCAATGAAGATGCTTGGTCTTTCGTGAACCTGTGGGCAGTGGGCTTCTGTGATGTGAGTAAATAGTGGGTCTTCCTGGAGCAGTGATTTCCCGGCGTCACCTGTCACTGCTCCTTGTCTCCATGATCTGGGCTAGGACCTCCTTTCTGTGTTTGAATTCCTCACTTACAATGGAGAAAATAGGGTCTGGTGGGATCCTGACTACTTTTTATTCCTTTCACCCTATTGACCAGGATATAGTCTTGACTACTCAAAAGGCCATCTGTAAGATGCTGGCAAGGCGAGGACAGATAAGAGATGCTCTAAAGTGTGTCTTCCTCATTGCCTCAGTATTCATGGACTTCCCCGTAGCATATAACTATTCCTGATAGTTATGTACTGACATTACATAGACTCACTTTTATGTGGTTGGCAAATTTATTGTCCTCTGACAGTTCCTCCAAAGTATCAAAGGCTTTTCAAAACTATTTGGAAGGAAGGCTGTATCACTGTTCCTGGGTTCATAGGATTCAACCATCAACTATCCCCAAAGAGTAGGGTTGACATGAAAATGATAAAAAAAAACCATAAAATGTGAAAAATGACACTGAGCTGAAATCAGGAAGGAAAATGTCAGCTGTCTGCCATAAACTTTTTATGTTTACCATTTCTCCATTTTCTTTTGTGTGACATGAGGAAACCACAATGACCCGCTTGGTTGGTTACACAGAGCCACACTTCAGATCGGTAACAGGAAGAAGTTCCTATGAATTAGAATTGTCCGAAAATGTAGTAGGCTGCCTTTTGAGATACTGAGTTTCTTGTCACTAAAGATGATCATTTTGGGGGCATATTTAGTGCATGATGTATATTTGCTGGATGAGTGGATGAGTTCATAAATGAATGACAAAGAGGATTTGTGTTTTTCGGCTGCACGTACACTCATCTGTAAAGTGTACACTCGTCTTAATGATCTCATAGGATTATTTTAGATTAAATGAAAAAACACGTTGATTACCCAACACAGTATCTTGCATATCACAAACTGCTCCTTAAATACTAACAATCATTCTTTATTTTATATTCTAAAAAGAATTTCTGCCTCAGGTAGAAGGTAGACAAGATGATCCTGCAATCTGAGATTTGCAGTTTTTATAATCATCTGTTTATTCTTCTTCTCTTTGCCTCTGCCCTTCTTCCTCTACCCATCTGAAAGAACTTCTCTTTGCTCTAGAAAGCCAAGTTCCTTGACATGGTAAGTCCACTAGTACACTTCTAACAGTGGGAGCACATTCTGTCTCAATTAACCAGGGACATTTTTGGTAACGTCACTAATTCGTGACTTGGAATGTGTGGACTTAGACTCCACCATGTTTTTCAAGTGACTTATTTGCTGCTTGTGTTTGATGCATTTGTCACAGATACACAAAAGACTTCAACAGCAGCAGTCAAAACTCTCCAAGAATTTTCTT